AAGAGCCTTCACATGAATAGGCGTATGCACAACCATGTTCATTGCAGCATTATTCATGAACAAATTAAGTGCCCATCAACAGATGAATGGATAAACAAACCAAACACACAATGGAATACTACACAACAATAAAGAACAACAACGAATCTTCGAAACGTCTCACAGCATGGATGAATCTGGAAGGCATTATGCTGAGTGAAATAAGTGGATCACAAAAGGACAAATATTGTATGAGACCACTATCATAAAAACTCATGAAAAGGTTTCCACATAAAAAGAAACAATCTCTGATGGTTACAAGGGAGGGAAGGGGTGGGGAGAGAAAAAATATAAACTAGACAATAGATAAGTGGTAATTTTGGTGAAGGATAGGACAGTACACAATACTAGGGAAGTCAGAATAACTTAAGACAAAGTCATAGAAGCTTCATAGCCATACCAAAACTCCCTGAGGGACCGAGTTACTGGGCTGAGGGCTGGGGACCTGGTCTCGAAGCCCGTCTAGATTGATTGGCATAACAGCTTATAAAGAAAATGTTCTACATCCTACTTTGGTGAGCAGCATCTGGGGTCTTAAAAGCTTGTGAGTGGCCATCTAAGATACATCCACTGATCCCACCCTGTCTGGAGCAAGGGAGAATGAAGAAAACAAAAGACACAAGGGAAAGATTAGTCCAAAGGGCTAATGAACCTCAACTACCACAGCCTCCACCAGACTGAGTCCCACACAACTAGATGGTACCTGGCGACTACCACCGACTGCTCTGCCAGGGATCACAATAGGGGGTCCTGGACAGAGCTGGACAAAAATATAGAACAAAATTCAAACTCACAAAAAAAAGACCAGACTTAGTGGTCGGACAGAGACTGGAGAAACCCCAAGAATATGGCCCCGGACACCGTTTTAACTCAGTACTGAAGTCATTCCTGAAGTTCACTGTCATGGATTGAATTGTGTCCCCCCAAAGTAAGTGTCACCTTGGCTAGGCCATGATTCCCAGTGTTACTTGATTGTCCACCATTTTGTCATCTGATGTGATTTTCTTCTGTGTTGTAAATCCTACCTCTATGATGTTAATGGTGCAGGATTATAGGCAGTTATGTTAATGAGGCAGGACTCAATCTACAAGATTAGGTTGTGTCCTAAGTCAATCTCTTTTGAGATATACAAGACAAAAGCAAGCAGAGAGACAGGGGGACCTCATACCACCAAGAAAGCAGTGCTGGGAGCAGAGTGCGCCCTTTGGACCTGAGGTTCCTGTGCTGAGATGCTCCCAGACCAAGGGAAGATTGATGACACAGACTTCCCTCCAGAGCTGGAGGAAAAAGCGTTCCCCTGGAACTGATGCCCTGAATTTGGACTTGCAGACTACTGGACTGTGAGAGAATACACTTCTCTTTGCAAAAGCCATCCACTTGTGGTATTTCTGTTATAGCAGCACTAGATGACTAAGACAGATGTGTCTAGGAAACTTCTTTGCTTTTGCTTTGGTCCGGTTGTGCTGACTTCCCCTGTATTGTGTTTTGTCCTTCCTTTCACTGAAGTTGCTGCGTATCTACTATGTAGTTAGTGATTTCCTCTCCCCCTTCCTCCCCATGTGTGGCATTTTAGATAGGGGTGTGCATTACTATGCTAAGGACTCCCCCTCGCCCCTCACACAGCTTCCAGAGGTTGCAAGCCTGTGTAGTTCTCTGCAATCCCTGACAGGTGCCCCCACACAGAGCGGCCATACCTGTGCCAGTGTTGGGCCAGCTGTGCTGACTTAGAAGGAACACTAGAATTGGGGTCAGGTAGACCATGGGGAGGAATCCTGCACCACTCACCAGCTGTGTGACACTGAGCGAGTCATTCTCTGAGCCTCGGTTTTCCTTCTTTGAGGGAATAGTACTAATAGTAGTCGTACTAGTAATACCACATGCCTGGCTCTGGACTAAGCCCTTTCACACACTGGGCACTATGTTATCCTCCCTTTACAGATGAGGAAACTGAGGCTCAGACAGAAGCCCAACATCTCCCAGCTAGGAACTGGTGAAATCTGGTGGAAGGGGCAAGTGAGTGAATGACCTGTTCCTCAACAGGGCCTGTACCTCCCTCTAGGGGACATCTTGGGAATTGGTGGGATTTGTGGCGTGTTTTTGGAAAGGAAAGGGCAGGACAGTTCCACAAGTAAAATGTGGTCCCACATCCAGCATGATAGTTGACTATCCTACTAGACATTCATGAAGGTAAAAAATGTATTTATAATTACCTGAACCTAATCTCATTCCATGACAGATTACAGGAAATTATTTTTCTACTACCCTCAGTGATAAAGCCCACCCCTTTGCAAGAACGTTGTATTTCCTAATTTTCTCCACCTCAACAGTCATTATCTTTATTTAAATTGAGGTTATTTCCCTATCTTCTGGCCTGTTATTATTATCACAGCCCTGTGTGTATTCAAGTGTCCACCTGTCCTCACTTTCATTTCCTGGGTGTCAACTCACAAACCACCCAAAGCTGGAAAACAAAAGCTAATTTAATTCTAGCTCAGGCAAGGCAGGAAGGCAGGCAGAAGTGCTGCTTCTTGTTAAACAAAGGACAAGACGGGGTTATTATGGGGTTTGGGGAAAGGAAGAAGTTTAGGTAATACTGAAATGGAACAGTATTTTAATAGCTTCAAAGCAAAGTGCGGGTGTGAGCAGAGAATTAACATCTGGCCCCGGCTGAAAAGGTCCTGTTTTGTTTGGAAACCATAGAGTTTAAAAAAAAAAAAAAAAAAAAGGGGAAGAACTATCCTTACGGAATCAAAATGACAACAGCAACTAGAAAGATTAGGTAGGAACCTTGGGAGGCAGTGAGTTTATGTTAATGGGGGAGGAACAACTCAGAAAAGGAGGGTGAGAATGGTTGCACAACTCAAAGAATGCAATCAGTGTCACTGAATTATACATGGGGCCCTGGTGGCATAGTGGTTAAAAGCTAGGGCTACTAACCAAAAGGTTGGCAGTTTGAGTCCACCAGCTGCTCCTTGGAAATCCTATGGGGTGGTTTTACCCTGTTCTCAACAACGAAATAAAGTAAAACTTTTTTAAAAAATCAGACTTTAAAATTGGGTTAAGAAAAAAAAAAAGGGACTGTCGTGTCTGCCTGGTTCTCTGAGCCCGGACAGTGGGAGCTGAGGGTCAGTGTACAAAGCTTAGGAACACATGAGTGAACAACTGAAGCTGTAGTTTCTCTGGGTCAACGTGACCTACACAGTTCAGGCAAGAATGGAATATTCCATTTTCACTTGTCTCTTTTGTTGTTGTTCTTTTTTTTTTCAATCGTCCTTTAAGTGAAAGCTTACAGTTCAAGTTAGTTTCTCACGCAAAAATTTTTCTGCCTTCTCATCTCACCTCCGGACAGAAGCTGCCTGTTTAGTCTCATGTATCTACTTGAGCTAAGAAGCACACTCTTCACAAGTATCATTTTATGTCCCACAGTCCAGTCCAATCTTTGTCTGAAGAGTTGGCCTCAGGAATGGTTTTAGTTTGGGGCTAACAGAGAGCCTGGGGGCCATGTCTTCCGGGGTCCCTCCAGTCTCAGTCAGACCATTAAGTCTGGTCTTTTTACTAGGATTTGAGGTCTGCACACCACTCACTTGTTTCTTATTGGAACCAAACCAAAAAAAACCCCAAACCCACTGCCACAGAGTAGATTCCAACACATAGCGATCCTATAGGACAGAGTAGAACTGTCCCATAGGGTTTCCAAGGAGTGGCTGGTGGTTTCGAACTGCTGACCTTTTAATTAGCAGCCGCTTAACCATTGTACTACCAGGGCTCCCTACTGGAACACTTTCCTTAAATTCATACTAATTCATGATAAATACGTACAAACATCTGTTTACTTCATTATGTCTTCTACCTCAGTAGATCCATGTTTTGAAATACATATTACTTTATTATAAATTAATTTCCTTCTGTGTCACCTTTATATTAGAGTTAGGGCATTGAGTTGTTTTGAAATGATGTGACTAACCCTTATATAGTATTTATGCTGTACCAGGCACTGTTGCGAGTCTCTTTCCAAGTATTATCTCATTTGATCCTCACACCAACTCTGTGTGGCAAAAACCAAACCAAACCCATTGCGATTCTGACTGTAGGTACAATTACTATTATCCTCATTTTACAGAGGAGGAAACTGAGGCACAGAGAGACTCATACAGGAAGTAGTGGGTCAGGGGTTTGAACCCAGAGCATCTGGCTAGAAAATCTACTCTCTTAACTACTAGCCTCCCTCTCAAGGGAGGGAGATTACCTAGGTACCCCATTTCAGAATATTAAGGAGGTTTTCCAAGATAGTTCTTCTTTAAAAAAAGGGGGTTGGGTATGACAGGGATGAGAACCACTGACCTAACCCATAGTAGGTACAGAGTAAATGGTAGTGGAATTGAACTAAGAAGGGCTCATGTTGATATCCCGTCCCCATTCCTTCTTCACTCAATATTCTACCATCACAGTCCTGAATCTGAACCAGAATTGGGGGAGGTGGTGATCTGTGTGGCCATAACCCTAGGCTCAGGAGGGGTACAGGGTCAGAGCGGGGATGGACAGGGAGGAATCGGCCCAGGAGAGGCTGTCAGGTCCCCACTTGCCAAGATCCCAAGGATTGTTTATGCCCAGGCCCTGCCTCTTTTCTCCTCCTCCCTAAAGGGCAGGGATCACCTCTGTGGAAAAATCCCCAGCTAGGTGACTAAGGTGAGAGGAAGGGGATGAGGGGGGCTGGGATTCACAAGACTCAATTCTTTTTCCTCGCTCGTGACTTGTGTTTACTGGGCTGGGTTCTGGGAAAGGGCCAGATTGCATCAGCCAGGGTCTTAGGGACTGGAGCCAGACTGTGGGCTGAGGAGGAGACGTGGCCTTATAAATTGGGACAAGTGAACTGCGAGGGGAGAGGCGCCCATTCAGGAAACCAGACATAAACAAAGCTTTAGAAGAAGACAGAGAAGAGAGATAGCAAGAGTAAGCCAGACATGACGGCCGCCTTTCCAAGAGCAGCCAGCCCCTCCCAGCAGCCCCCAGGCCCAGAGGATGAGGACTCCAGCCTGGATGAGTATGACCTGTACAGCCTGACCCACTTTTACCTGGGTGAGGTGCCGGGGCTCTGCCACCTTCCTGATCCTTCTACTTCTAGTCCTTGCCCTCCACAAATGCTGACTCCCCCCTACCACCACCACCCCCTTGAATCAGGACCCCTCCTTGGACTTCTCACCTCTTGCCCTTTTCCAGACAACCTATTCTCATGGCCCCTCAGGTCAGCCTATGACCCCTAAGTCTCTCCTTTTTGATCTCCCGTCCACTGAACCCTGTCTTATTCAGCCTGGGACCTCACACACTTACAGAATCATCTGGGGTCTCTAATTTCACAGATGAGGAAACAAGTTGACAGGGGTTGGGACTACCCCAGAGTTACAGGGTAACAACCCCCCAGTCTCCCTACTCCAGCCCAAGCTCTTTCCACCCCCACTGTAGGCTGCCCACCTGCCTCTCCCATGAGCCCTTTCATCATGCCTCAGCCCACCTCCCCTCTGACTCCAGCCTTGGTTTCCAGGAGGAGGCGCCAGGAAAGGTCGCACCAAGAGAGAAGCTGCTGCCAACACCAACCGCCCCAGCCCTGGTGGGCACGAAAGAAAGCTGGTGACCAAGTTCCGGAATGCAGAGCTGAAAAAGAGAGGGGCACATCCCTGAGACAGAGTTGGAGGTAAGGAGTCAGGGGGCTCCAAGCGCCAGAGGAGATCCCTCTGCCTCAAAAGGACAGGCCTGCATGTGTGTGGTTTGGAAAAGGGAGAAAAGGGGTCTGCAGAATAAAATGTTCTAACAGCCAGAGCAAAAAGGGAAACAGAGTATTTCTAGTTAGAGGGAAATACAGTTTAAAGAGAGGGAAACTGAGGCCCAGAGAGGTTAGGGTACTCACAGAGCAAGTGAGCAGGAGGGGCAGAATTCAAACCCAGGTCTCTGTGTCTTTCCCTCCCCGAAGATGAGGCCAGAGCATGGACACCACACCACAGCAATGGAGACAGGACCACGGCGACAGAACCGCAGAGGAATTCCTGGGAGCAGGGTCCAGGCCTGCTTTTCCCCCTCCCTGACCCCAGGACTTACCACACCCGACTGAGGCCTCACAAGCCACCAAAGGAGCATCCCCAGCCCCCAGCAAAAGGGCCAGATGGAGAGCATGAGACAAGGAATGGAGGGACGGAGTTAGGGAGGTACCCCTGCCCCCGAAAAGAAAGACGCGGAAGAAACGGGGTGACAGTGACAATAAAGAGAGAAAATACAGCAGCTGCAGCTTGTGTACGTGTTTCTATCCTCTGTCTTTGTGGGAGTGTGTGTTGGGGCACCTTTCTGCCTGCACGCGTCTGCGTTTGCATGAACCCATGAGAACATTTTGTGTGCAGTGTTTGGGGCGTTCCTGGTTTTGTAGAGCTCTACTGCTGTGAGCGTGTGCTTGCTATGCATGTGTTTTGATACATACGTTTCTATGCGTGGGAATTTCCTCTTTCTTTGTGATGCTGTTTATGAAACAACCGTCCTCCCCAGCCTCCATCCAAGATAAAAATCTTGTTGATTATGTCATGTTTGCATAAAACCACGTTTTGAAGGGAATGTTGTTTATTGGGGCCATCCACAAGGTGGAGAAAACTGAGATTAAAAACCTTAAGGGACTTGCTTACTCAGGGCTCAAATTCAAGGATCCTTATCGGCCTCAAGGACAAGGTAGGTCCCCTTGCCAAGGGGCTGCCAGAACAGGGTTCTGGGAGGTCAGCTGGAGGCGGAAGTTTCTCTCCTGGTGGTATCAGCCTCAGTACCAGCGTCTGAGGAAGAATGTGCGGCAAATAAGAGGTGTGGTTGAAGCTAAGAGGATCTATTAGTTGAGGCACAGGTTCGGGCTGCTGTAATGAAGACTCACACAAAACAGGATAGAAACTTATTTCTCCCTCGTAACATTTCCAAGGGTAAGTACTCCTGGGCTAAAATGGCAATTCCACTGTGTTGGGGATTCCAACTGCTTTTAGCTTGTTCTGCAATCCTCAAAAGATGGCTTCCATCTCGAGGTACAAGATAGCTGCTCCAGTACCCACCATCACATCTGCATCTCATCCTGTGGAAAGGGAAGGGGGAAAGAACCAGGGTAGGCCACACCTATTCATTTTTAAAGGCGTAATCTAAAAGTAGCACAAATCACATCTGCTCAGAATTTAGTCACATGGACACACCCGACCACAAGAGAGACCAGGAAATGAAGTACGCATATTTAGGCATTAGCCAAAATCTGGCCAAGGGCAGGGCTTTACTATTAAAGGAAGCAAGAAAGAATGGATAGTGGAAAAAGCTAGCAAGAAATATTGTCCATTGGCAGATTCAAAAGAAGTAGGAGGAAAGAATCTGTAGGCCTGGCCCTGGGCAGAGCCTTTTTCCTTTTCTCCTGTCCTTTCCATATAAGCCCAAGTCTGCAGAACTTGGAGCCAGTAGTTCTTAGGGACCCAAGACTATCGACAGAGGAAGGAGACACCTGTTGGAGCAGTAACACATGCGTAGTAGACCAAGACCAGCTTGGATCTTTGGGGCCTTCTATCCATCCACCTCCTCCGAGTCCAGCCTAATAACAGATTCCCAGAATCCATGAGTAGAAAGGACGTTAAAAGGTATCTAGTCCAATCCCATCCCATGCCATGATCACCTCTGCTTGCTTGAATATCACTAGAGATGGGGAACTCATTAGCTTTGAAGGCTGGCAATTTCCATCTGAGGACAACTCCTTGATGTGAGTTGAAACTTGACTTGCTGTCTCTCCTATTTGCCCTTGAACATGCTTCTGTTTTTCTGGTCCTTTCTGTCTGAGATGTCCTTAATCCCGCCCATCCTGCAAGGCACAGCTCAAGTGCTGCTTTCTCTTCAAAGTCTTCCCTGACTTGCCCGCCACCACTAGTCTCCTCACCTCCACCCCAGGCAGACCCCTCCTTGGGATTGCACAGTAAGTCTGTGCCATGATTTCACGTAGCCGCTTCAGCTTTCTCTTCAAATGCCTCTTTCCATAATTAATTATTTATTCATTCAAGGCATGGACTGCAAGGAGGGACAAATGGGACCCTGGTATGATTGAGATCAGGCTTTAGGGCCACTGTCAGCTCTTGATCATAGGAGGAGAACCGAAAGCACCGCTAGGCAGTGAGCTTTCAGCCCAGCACAGATCTGGTGGGTCAACTTCAGGAAATCTTAGTAACAGCTCTTGTATTGGGTTCCTACTCCGTGTTTTATAGGCATTGCTTCAGTTAATCCTTACAACAATCCAATAGGATATACTATTATTGCTTTCGTTTTGCAGACCAGAAAACTGAGGTTCAGAGAAGTTAGGTAACTTGCTCAAAGTCACACAGCCAGGACCAGTAGGAGCTGGGATTCTAAACTCAGGTCTGTCTGATTTTCAAAGCCTGGGTTTTTTTTCCTTTTTACTATGTGCCTGAGAAAATCCATGTACTGACAGTGGGGAATCCTAGATTCTAGTTAATTTCTGGTCAATGACTCCTTCTGAGTCTCAGTTTCCCCATTTGTCAAATGAGACTACTAACCTCTCCTCCCTCTGCTTCAAAGGAGAAAACAAGGGCTGGAAAATGCTGTATCCCTAGCTGACGTGGCCACTCCCTGTGTACTGAGTCTATTGACATTGCCAGGAGGCCCTACACCGCCCCTCACTCCTGGCCTCTGGTTGGTGTTCCCTGGCCTCGCCCTTCCCTGGCACAGCCTCTGGCTGAGAAGTCTTTAAATGGCTGTTCCAAGAGCCTTAAGGCAATTTTTGGAATCACAGAACATTTGAATCTAGAAAGATCCTGGGGGTCAGACCCCAACTCCCTCACTTTGCAGATGGAGAAATCAAGGCCTAGGGAGGTTCAGGGGCTGGGCTGGCTTAAGGTGACACAGGACTAGGGTCCCAGAGAGGCTCCTGACTCTGCTCTCCAGAACCTCTCATTTGTGTCTTCATTCCCTCTTTTCCTACAGCCTTCCTTTTTTTCCCCCTTCTTGTTGGATGTTGTATCTATTGCCCCCCCAATTTCCTTGTTTTTTGCTGAGGGCTGGGGGATCAGTAACCCCTCTTTCTCCTCAGAGGCTTACAGGTTTCCATGATTCAAAGGATTGCCAGCACCTTGCAGAGAACTGAGACACTCCCTATGGGGTTGTTTATTTGTTTTGCAAAAGTCCTGGTCCTCCTCCAGCCATCCCTTTCTCAAAGGTCATTAATATATATATACTCTACCCTACCCCCTCAGAATCACCCAAAGTTGATTTTCAACTAGCACTCCTTAAAGGCAATACTAATAATAGCAATAGTCATAGCTACAATTATTGATTATTTGCCTCAGGGCTTCTCCAACTTCACCTTTCACGTGGCACTTTGGTGATTTCTGTCATATATGCCTTCAAGCTATACCATTTGCGGTGCAATAGATCACCTTTGTGTGGCCTTTCTCACCATGGTCTTGTAACTCCTACCCAAGTGACTGGGTGGGATTGTGCAGATAAGGTAATTGTGGCCCACCAAGGGGATTGGTCAGTTTTGCCATTCCAGTAGGCTTAAAAGAGAGCCAATTCTAAAGCAGAAAGGGGGTCTCACCACCACCAAGGAAGAAGGGCCAAGAGTAGACAGCACCCTTTGGACTCGGAATCCCTGCACTGAGAAGTTCCTGGAACCAAGAGACTGAGAGAGAGAGAGAGCTATAACCCTGAAGATGGTGAGACGTGGTGGCAGAGAAATGGCTGCAGGAGAGACTGGCAGAAGATGGTGTGGTGGGCTTCCCTGTCCACAGAGTGAGAGAGCTGAGAGCCTTTGGCCAGGAGGCTTGCTGGCGGAGTAGGGTGCCTGTAGGCACTTGGTGTAGCTAGATTTGCCGACCCATGAAGCTAGAGCTGAGTGCTTTCAAGCCAAGGCTTACTGGCGGAGTGGGGTGCCTCCTGGCACTTATCGGCAGACTTAAAAGAGCTTTATAACACCTGCCGAGCAGGGCAGAGGTGGAGGGCCAGAGAAAGGTGTGCCTGACAGCGTAGCTGAGAAGGGGTTGTCCCGATGAAAGAACTGTATCCTGAGCATTCCTCAACCTGAATTGTAGCCTGTTACTTCCCTAATAAGCCCCTTAATCGTGAGTATTGTCTGTCAGTTCTGTGTGGCCATTGCAATGAATTATCGAACATAGCAGAGAAGTACAGAGTGCCATGGGAGGGACTGTTGGTGTCAAAACTGGTAAAGATGGTGGAGAGAAGAGGCATGTCTGACCTCCGCCTCATAGGAATCAGCCTTGGGCTGTTGATCTTGATTCTCTTTTCCCCTTGTGAAGTTAGAGGAGGTCAGGCACCGCCTCCATGCCATTTTTTATACCACTATTTACTTAGCATTTAAAAAATCACTTCCTTACCTTTTTACTTGCATGTATTTTAAAAGGAAACTATATAACCACCCAAAATGGAAAAACCACAATCACTTGCCATAATTAGAAGATAACTGTAAAAAAGAAACAACTAATTATAACTTTAAAGAAAAATTCTTCTGTGCACTACCGAGGATGAGCTTACGTCCTGAGGTCATAGGTGTACACACGTGGGGAAACACCAGTCATTCATGAGCCAAACACTGTACCAAGTGCTTTGCAGACACACGGGAAGGCCTGGGCTGCACACTGAATCATCAGAGAGTTAATAAAAATACTGATGCCTGGTTCTCACTCCAGGGATTCTGATTTAATTGGTCTGAGGTGGCAGATTACATTCACCAAAGATGACCACAATAAGAGTTCCATGCCGTGTGTTCTTTTTACACTGTGACCTTGACAGCCATCCATCAAATGGGGGAAGGGAGCTGTCTCTCTTCTTTTTGAGCATGGAAAGATCTTTGTGACTGCCTCAAGTGATAGATTATGGCAGATGTGGTGCTATCATAAAACATGTACTTCCATGTTGCTCTCTGGGGCTCTTGGAACCCGGCCACCATGCTGTAAGGAAGTCCAAAGCAGCACACAGACAGAGACCACAGGTAAACACGTTGCTGGTGTTCTGGCTTTTAGCCCAGCCGAGGTTCCAGCTGAAACTCATCCTCCCCTGCCAGACATGAGAGTGAATAGAACCTGTAGATGGTTCCAGCCCTGGCTGTCAAATCACTCCAGCTGTTGAG